TATCGGATATTGTCTCCATTAAAATATTTATCATTTCAGTACTTGTCGCTTTCATGGCGACAAGATGATCAAATTTCAAATTTAAAATGTTTGTTCTTTTAAAATACTACCTTTATTAAAAAATATATTCAGTAAAAATACAGGACACATCAAAATTACATTTTGGTTTATACTCTTTTCCTGTTACTCAGGGGTTGTTACCAGACAGATAGGGATATTAGCCCTCGGAAAATGGATACCCATTTCAATTTTGTCCAAATTGTATTTGTATATGCGCTTGCGTGTACACATGTATCTTTAATTTCATAACATGCCTAAAAATATTTCTACAAAATTTTAAAAATAAAAATATATTCTATTTATTAACGAATAATTTAATAAGTTTCCAAGAAATTTAATAAAATCTTATAATTATCTGATTTTTTAGAGTTTGAAATTTAACTTATTTTCCTATTCTCCAATTTTATCGTTTTACTGATCAGGCCAGTGTAGGGGTTGTCCAGACTGAGTGCGAGTCGAATGTGTTATGTTGACATCACTCAAAATGTTTAAATGTGTGTGCTTGTATATATATGTATATATATATGAAATGGCAAAAGAAGTCACTCCTACCCAACAGAAATATAAACACATTACACAGGTCCATGCAAAGTCACTCTCAGGCAGTGCATGGCGGACACACAATCAGCGTTTATTTCATAATATAGATTTATAAATGAAAAATCATGTTGAATTTTGCATAATAAAACCGGACAAGTTATTATCAATACATTTATTAAGAATAGACACGATAAGCTGAAATTCACGTGATGTATAAATGTGGCGTCTATTTCAAATGCGAAGTATCCGCTATAACGTCTAAAGTAATAAAAATATCGGATTATAAATAAATCTATTAATTCTTTAGAAAATGATTTCTTTACGTTTCGAATAGGAAACTAAGGAGATACGAAGCTTTCGAGAAGATAATCTGGGTGAAGAGGATGCGCTTTTCTTAAAAAGGGAAAATAGAACATCGCTTAAGTGTGACGTTCTTCGTGGCCGAGCGGTAAAGCACACTGGATAAAACGGTGGACGCATGTTCGATGCATGCCAGGAATTTTCTTTTTTTTTAAGTTTTCGGGGGGGGGCAAACCAACAGACGTAATACACTGTGTTTAGTAAAATAAAAATGGGACGTCTACTTCAAATACAAAGTATCAACTATAAGAAGGTTTGAAGTTTTATATATATACATATATATATAACTTCAAACCTCTATATATAGATGAGTGATGGACGTTCTTTCACAAACCCATGAACAAACACACTCGAGCGGTTAGCCTTAGTGCGGGTAGAATGGAGATCAACGTGTTTTAGCGGACTCAGCAGTTTTCAATCAGCTTGTCTGAATCGTCTTCATGAAGCGAGAGCAAGACTTAAAAGATCAGCCAATCTAACAGTGATCTCATCCCACAGTCCTTATTCTTGATCCATATGCGGCCGCCTTTGTAAATCACTAGCGGGTCTTAAGTGCCACTTAATGCTATCGCACAAAATTTCATAACTGAATCAATTAATTTAGCTGTCAGATCCTCATACGTCGAAACCGACGGGAGAGTCCATTGTTATTACTAATATATATATATATATATATATATTCTGAAAATATTACCAACATCAGTTCGTTAATCCTAGTTTTATTGTAAAAACATTGAGTTAGCGAATAAAATTTGACGAACACACACAGATACACACACGAAATATATATATATATATATATATATATATATATATATATATATATATATATATATATCAGCTAATGCATAATTAAAGAAATACCAAAAAGCCGATATATTTTGATAATAATTTGAAAAGAGGAATGAAGGAGAATCTTGAGAATCATTCGTTACCTTAAACCTGTAGACGTGATGATACACACAAGATGGACGAAGCCGACTTAGTGTCTGTCCGACATTCGTTTGTTCCAGATTAAGTCCTGTAATCGCTGTCCAATGAACAATCGTCTCGCAAGACAAACAAAGGACTTAATAGAAAAAGTAACCAGATACCAAACGTTTCATATTACACGATATTTTTACGTTTATTCTATTGTTTCTACGCCAGTTTCCCCTTCTCTTCTCCTCAAGTTGAATTCCGTATATTCCTTATATAGTTTGATGTTGTGTGTCTACGCTGATTAAAAATAAAACAGATAGATAGATAGATAGATAGATAGATAGATAGATAGATAGATATGAATGGAATGAGATAGATAGATAGATAGATAGATAGATAGATAGATAGATAGATATTAATGGAATGAGAAAAATAGGATAGAGAGAGAGAGAGAGAGAGAGATGAACAGACTGAGACAGATAGATAGATAGATAGATAGATAGATAGATAGATAGATAGATAGATAGATAGATAGATATTGTGAAGTCATCTTTTTCGCAATATAATTGGTATGAACCAACTGAATTTGTTAAAATTTTCGGGATAAACTTATATGGTAAGCAATTTCGTTTTTCTTAAAAATATTTACGATAACTTATTTGGCCGTGTAAGATTTTATTATACAGCTCGCAATTTTTTTCATTGTTTTTAATTTCATACATGTAAAGATTGTCATGGATCGCAAGAAAGATTTATCCTCAAAAGAGAAACATGTTATCAAATGAGAACTTGATGGGACCAACATATTGGAAAATACGAAAAGTATGTATGCTTGTGGTAATAGCAATATTAGCCATTTCCTTATAAGGAAACATTCAGTGTTGACTGATCGAGCTGCCAGTGCTACGGTCACTTGAAATATATAATCTTTTTCTCTTAAAACAAATTTTCAGGGAAAAAAGTTTCTCTAGTCCAGTCGCTGTAATCGCTCTTTCCAGTATTAATAGTGGCTTCCTTCCTAACCTTTTCTTTGAAGTGGTGTGGAACATCAACATCATGATTATCTCATTATTTTCTCTTCGAATTACAAGTGCTATCCATTTTAGTTGTTTAAGGTCTTCGAGTGATGTGGATTCTGTTGCTTGGTCCAATTACAGAAATTCCTCAGGTTACGTCGGACCCGACGTTCGAAGTTTCATGGTTACGGTACTCCCATTACTTTATTACTGCTGGGTATGTGCTCCATGTTTTTATTATTATTTTTTATTTATCATAGGTGCAAAGGTCAGGAATTGTTCTCAATTAGTATCTGTCTATATTTCTGAGATGAGGTATTATGTACACTATTTACATTATTCAGACTATTTTCCTCATCTTTGTCGCCATATTTGTTACAACGTTGTAATAAATATGGCGACAAAGATGAGGACAACAATCCGAATAATGTAAATAGTGTTCTCGTTTATTTTTTTTATTTTTACTGTTTCACTTCATTATCGTACTGTACGGTGTACAGTATGTGCACTATGTACATAGTACAGTACATGTACTCTATTATGTATGTGTACTGTTCACTATGTGTGTGGCGTGGGTGTTTATGCAGGTGAGTTCAGACCTACGTCGAAAATCAGGTTACGTCGCGCCGTAGAAACGGATCTCCGAGGTAAGTCGAAGATCCGTTGTATTTGGTTGTCATTCTGTAGCGCCAGTTCAATAAATAATCCTAAATAAGAATCCGGAAAATTAGATCAAGAAACAGTTAACTGTAAAAATGTCACAAAAGTAATGCTGAGAAGTACTAAACGTGTAACAAGCCAGAAAATGGATTTTGATCAACAATAAAATATTTGAAGGAGTTCGTATTGAAAATGACAACAGAAAGGAAAGGTCAATAATATTAAGAACACACCAGCAAAAGAAATTAAATCAACGAAAGAGTCACCTTTAAGTACACATTTCCTGGATCTAGACACGTTTATCTTGAATTTTAATGGCCGTTATTAATCTGTTTTATTATCAGTGACTTATATCGCTTCTAAATTATTTTTTTCTGTGTCGAACAAAAATAAAGACGAGTAATTGCTTTGTTTTACTGTAATTTCATGTGGAACCCATTTTTCCAGAGTTACGTACCGTGCTTGTTCGGGGTGGGGGAGCGGTAATGGTTCTCCACAACTTCTTAGCCTTTGTATCACTTTCTATCCCTCCTTGTACGTGTTCTGCTAAAGAAAATACATAAGACTGTTACTAGTCTATAGCTAATTCCATGTCAAATGTTCAGAAGACCGCCATTCTTTAGTGCCACCAACTCAGATCTTTATAGTCAAGACCCGCCTTGTTACGTCCAAATGGTTAAATCGGCCTCATTTCCTACATCTTCTATTGGTAAATAGGCCGCCTTCCAGTCTAAAAGCGTGTTTCCAAGAATCCCAACTTTGTTGAGCAGACTCCTACATGGATGCTCTCTCGAAAACTACAATCTTAACCACTTCAAGTCTAGAGTCAATCGTTTTCTATCCCTCATATCCTCATAATCTTCATGCTTCCTCATCTTATGTACACGTCACACGCCTTATTCACTAACCCTTTACTCTGTTTCGTTCCTCTGCTGAACTGTAGTAAAAGAAAACTCCGTTGCCTCATGTCTCGTCTTCACCTTTAAAGAAATTCTCCAACATTTACGGCCATTTAGAACGATTGCTATGAGAGTTGAGCAATCTTATTTTTGTTTCCAACGAATTATCCATGTAATTTTAATAAATAATACTACCACTGCAAATACTACTACTAATACTAATACTACTAATAATAATGTCCAAATACAAGGATCTGGAGATCGATTATCAGTTAAATGATAATTCTCCTAAAGGGCCTAAGGACCATAGCTGGGACACAACTCTACAGGATACAAAGCAGGAAACACAGCATTCTTTCCACTAACTTTGCTTGAAGAACATATCATCGCCCCCGTCTTCATTGTATATCTTTAAATTTCACCCCCTAATTCTATTTTCTTTTTTTTCTTTGTATTTTTCTAATTGTTACTACCATTTCTTGATGAAATGACATCCATTCTACCATTTTTTTCTTTCTCCGTTTTTTTTTATTTTTTACTATTAATGGAAGCGAATTTAGTCTTCCTCTTTTTCGAAAACATAAAAAATCAGTTCTTTGATTTTCTCTCTCTCTCTCTCTCTCTCTCTCTCTCTCTCTCTCTCTCTCTCTCTCTCTCTCTGCTAACTCATGCAAATGGACATCATTGGAATCCCAGGTCACGGACGTGGAGCCTTCTTATTTAAAAAGTGTATGCTGGCACTTCAACCAAGTTGAAACTCTGTATTTAGGTTTCAACTCTGTGCGCCACGTACGTTTTTCATGGATTCCTCGTATCCTACTTATTTGTCTCTGTTTTGTTTTGTTTTATGTGCGCGTGTTTTTTTGTTTTTTTTTTTTTTTTTTTTTTTGTTGTTTTTTTGGTAGGGTGCGTGTAATAGGAGCAGATAGGCTTGGCTATCTCTCAATGAATACTCCCCACCTTCTCTTGAACAGGAGTAATGTCTTATCCCTTGTTTCCTGTTTAGGGAGGGGTTCCAGGATCTTTTCTTTTTCTCTGGCCTTCGTCATAGTATTGTCGTGAATCACTTGCAACGTGTGCGTTCTGTGGCAACGTCTCTTCATATTGAGGGTACTGGGTTGACAGTTCTATAGTTGTTGTTCCCGACTGGGAGTTAGGAGCCCGAACTCGAGTGTCTTGAGCAGCTGCTCTGATCAACAGTTGCATAATATCGGGGTACTTGTAATGCCATATCGCACATGGAAGGCCGTCCCTGCACGCACCTCTAGTGAGTGATCCTGAGACCACTTTATGTTGCAGTCTGCGCCAATCTCCTTTCTGTCTATGTCACATATGATGCCCTTCTACTACTATTATTTTAGAACTTTTCACTACCAACATGACTCAAAATGGCCTTAAATCATCATAAAAAATAAACCTAAACCAGCTCTAAAAATCGCCTAAACCTTTCAACATTTCCTTTTCCAACACCCGTAGCTTTCGATCCAACTTCTGCAGTGTGGAATCGGTCCTCTTTGAAAAATCTCCTGATATACTAGCTCTCTGCGAGACCAACCTTAACTCTTAAATCCCCTCCTCTTATTTCTCTATTCCCTGTTATCTCCCTGCTGTCTTTAGAAACGACTCTAAAATCTACATGCATGGCCTGGAAGTTTACGCCCGGGACTATCTCCTATTGGCTAGAGAACTCACTCTTGAAACTCCAGACCATTCAAATATGTGTCTTCGTCTACCTCTCCTCAATTCTCTTCTTTCTTTGTCGCCTTCTTCTCAAGACTGTGGTGTACTCAATTGCATTTCCTATAATTTCCGAGTTATTTGTATGTTTGCGTTTGACAAAGGAAAACACAGAATCCTATGTAACTGGATATCCCGGTTACCTCCCTCTCTTTAGAAAGGACTCTAAAATTCACATGCATGGCCTGGGAGTTTACGCCCGCGACAGTCACCAAATGGCTAGGGAAGTCTCTCTCTCTCTCTCTCTCTCTCTCTCTCTCTCTCTCTCTCTCTCTCTCTCTCTCTCTGATCATCCATATATGTGCCTCCGTCTATCTCTCCTCAATTCCTCCCTTCCTCCCAAGATTGTGGTGTACTCGATAGCATTTCCGATAATATAGACAAGGCTATCTCTCTACATCCGTTTGCACATATATTTGTCTTCGGTGACGTTAACGTCCACCATACGACGTGGCTTAAAAACTCTATAAATGACTTCGCAGGCATACAGACCCTTAACTTTTCAATCCCTCACACAAGTGGTTGACTTTCCTAAGCGTTTCCCCAGTAACCCTAACGGTAAGGCTTTCCTTCTCGATCTCTGTTTTACCACCATCCCCGACTCCTGTCGTGTTACTTTGTGTCACGCAGCTCTGCCCTATGATCATGACGTAGTGTCTTTTAACATCTCCTTCTACTACTCCCCCAGCAAAGAACCTCCTACTAACAGAATATCTTTCTGTTATCAACACGCAGACTGAGACTCGTTCCGCGATTTCCTTCACGATGTCCCTTGGAATGTAGTTTTTAATCTCCCCATTCAAAAATGTGCGTCTCCTCCTGGGTAAAAGCTGGAATTGAGGCTTTCATCCCCGCAAGAAAATACAAAGTTAAATCGCACTCATCTCTTTGGTTCACAGCCGCTAGCTCAGCTGCTATTGCCCATAGGAATCACTTCTTCCACCTGCACTGAAATGACATGTCTGATCACAACAGATGTCTCTTTGTCTCTGCCCGTAATGAGTGCAAGCGTGTCCTCAATGAAGCAAAGCTATTATTTACTACAAAAAGGAAACAACGTATTGCAAGAGCGTGATGAACAAAAGCAAATCCACATATCTATTCAATCAATTTGAGGTTCGGATAAGACTGAATGCTTTGCTCGGAAATTCTCATCCCATTCGACGCTCGACTCATCCGGAGGACACACACCTGATCCCACCCCACCCCGAGGCTCTGTTAGGTGATATAAACATTACCCCATCGATGGCTTTGGACATCGTCTCCAAATTAGACTCCTATAAGGCTAGTGGCGGGGACGGGATACCAGCCGTTGTCTTGAAGAAATATGCTCCTGAACAGGCACCAATCCTCTCCTAAACTATATAAATATTGCCTTACTGTTGCCTTCCAGCCTGTTGGATGACATCCAGTGACCCTTCTGACCCATCTAACTACCTTCCTATAAGTCTTCTACCACTCTTCGGCAAAGTCTTCGTGGCTTTATTCAACGCCGAAGTGGTTAAGCACCTTACATCCAATTATCAGCTCTCAGACAAGTAATATAGTGTCTGCTTTGTCCGGTCCACTGCCGACGTGCTCACAACCATAACTGAATTTATATACCAAACACTTGACAATAACGGAAAAGTTCGAGTCGTAGCTTTAGATATCTCTAAAGGGTTTGATAGAGTCTGGCACGCTTGCCTTCTTTGTAAGCTTGAGGGATACGGCCTTACAGAACGATTGACAATTGAATCTATAGCTTCATCTACCGCAAGGAAAGTTGTTTCTCTGTGTAACGCCAGAAGGTTCTTCTCGCCCTTCAAATCTACAAATCAACCATTCGACCTGCTGCCATATATGGTTTGGTTCTCCTGCTGTTCATCTCAAAAATCCAAAGACGGATATGCAACGTGGTTGGTCCTGATCTAGCATCCCGTCAGCAGTCGCTATCTCACAGACGTGCTGTGGCTTCCCTGTGTCTTTTCTACAAGTATTTTCATGGCAACAGCTCCGACGAGATACTTTCTCTAGTACCCCAACTGCATGAATTTAACCGTGCTACTAGGTTGGCATCTCGGTCCCACCCTTTCACTATCGAAACGACTAAATGTAGCCATCTCTTCTACTCCAACAGCTTCTCATCTCGCACCTCCTGTCAATTAAACTCCCTTCCTATGACTTGCTTCCCTGATAGCTATAATCTTCAAATATTCAAATGTAATGTCAATCGACATCTTCTGATGCCTTGACCTTGATCCCTGTCCTTCTCTTTATCCTTTTCCCAAACACTCCTCTTTACACGTACTCCCACTCTCTGTAACACCTTGCGTGCTAGTGGCTCTCCTGCTTTGCTTGGGGCGATTTGCTTTAAAAAAACAAAAAACAAATCAAACAAAAAAAAACGTAAACAATAATAATAATAATATCGCTTCAATTTAGGAGAAAAATCCACGTCTCTTGCAAACTCGCTAGCTCATTAAAGATCACGAAAAAGAGCGGCTGCAGGAGAAGGTTTGGCTACCGAAGGAAGCTCCGGTTCAACAATGTTGTTAATAAGAATCACATCGTCGTCAATTGGTTTCCAGTAAATCTCAAGCCATGATAAATTTTCACTAAAAGAATGACAGTAAAAGTGAAAAACAAAATGACTTGTTTATTTAATTCTGCACCGTTATTCCATTTTCTTGAAAGAAGCGTCTCCGTACTTCGAAATCTGTTCACCTTTCGCTACTCTTTATCCCAAGTAGATTTGGTTTTGTATCCCCTGACATTGTTACTTCTGGCATTCAAGCTGCTAGACATCTGACATTTGAATGCTGACAATAATTTATAGAGGATTGCCACACGAGAACAGTAAAAATAAAAGACACACACATCGTAAAATCGATCGAATAATGAATGAATGAATGAATGAAATAATTGGTACAAATAGGTTGTCGCTAAGAACGATCAATGGAGAAGTGATAAATCTTTTCGGACGACTTAATCAGTAAGTAATTTGGCGGCTTTAATTGGAACTTTTTCAACTGACAATCAGAAGAAGGAAAGAAAAAACGAAGACATAAAACTATTTACACTATTGACATCATTCGGACTGTTGTCCTCATCTTTATTGTCATATTCACAATGTTTCGATCGTTGGATGCTCCGACCTTCTTCTGGTGATATACGTTGGAATTTCAAACCAAACCCTTTACTTAGTCCACTGAGGTAGATTTGTCGACGTCCACGGGTCATGCCTTTTCCGCATATCTCATTTGAAGTTGTTTCCCTTTAGTAAATCAATTCTCTAAGTTTTTTCTTCACCTCGATTAAATACATGGAAGAATGATAGATTTGCATTAATTTAAGCGAGATACTACATTGGCAGTTAGATCTCAACGTTTTACTATTGAACGATCTAGATGCAACCGCAACTTCTATTCCATTATTTTCTTTTATCGGACTTATCAAGTGGGGAACTCTCTTAAGGTTTTTTGATTACCTGTCGCCTACAATCTTCAAAAAAATTAAATGCAACGTCAATCGCCATCTTCTATCTTCCTGAGAACTGTCCGTTTATTGTAGTTTCTTCTCACTAAACTCTTCTCATTTTCTTTTAATCCCAGTAAACTTTGGCGCCTTAGTGGCATTATTGCCATCTTCAGGTCTTTCTGAAACCTGTTCTTTTATTGTTCTTTCTTCTCACTAAACCCTTCTCATTTTCTTTCACTTCCAGCAACTGCTTGCGTCTTAGTGCCATTACTGCCATCTTCTGTTTTCCAGAACCCAGTTCTTTTATTTTCCTTTCTCTTCACTAAAACCTTTTCATTCTGTTTCATTCCAAGTAACTCCTTGCGGATTACGGCCACATCAAGTTGAAGCACCGATTCCCGTACTATCAACGAAGTTAAGCAGCGTCGCGCCTGGTCAGTATCTAGATGGGTGATTTCTTGGGAATATCATGTGTTGTAAGCTTTGATGTGCGGGTGATGTAATGAATAAAGACTCGAAATTGTTAATCAGCGAGCCGAGTTCGAATTAACGTTGGGTTCGTTAAATTCGCTTACGTGTCAATATCCTTGAGAAAGGTTTGATTTCGCCTCTTCTCCATCCAGCATTGGGTCCGTTAGTAAGTAATGATTTAGTTCGTCATTACTCCATTATTATCTCACCACCCTGCACCAAAAAAAGGTGCTTACAATCTAAAAGAAATTTATGGCTTTAATAACCTGCAATGATTTGATAAGCCGTAGAAAACGAATTAATCAATAGCCCCCTGGCATCATATTGGCATTATCGCCTTTCCTGGGGTGAAATTATATTTTTTCAATGATATTAAAATTCAAAAAATTCTTTTTCTACCTAATCGGAAGAGTCCAATATACAGAGATGTACAAATCTTTTATTTAGTTTAGCATAAAGTTGTTTTCTGATAATGTTGCCAGAAGAGTCCATTACATACTGATGGGTAATTATGTGTCGTGGACGCTTCTGCTTGACAAGACTTCACACAATGCATACATATGTATATATATATATATATATATATATATATATATATATATATATATATATATATATATTCTGAAATGGACAAAGTCCGACAAAATTAAGTAAATGCTCTGTTTATAATAAACAGTATTAACAACATATACCGGTCTGAATTTTCTATGAAAATTTCTCGGACATTCAGGTCGGTAAATGTTATTAATACTGTTTATTATAAACAGGGCATTTACTTAAATATTTGTATCTATAAAAAGAACGTCTAAATATAAAAAATGTCTTAAATATATGTGTGTGTGTGTTGTGTGTGTGGGTGTGAGTGTGTGTCTTGAATAACTTGTATTAAAACCACAGGTAATTCTATATGTAAGTTTATGTCTAAGCGGGTATCGGATGATAATGTGCAATCGTAATTGTGGATGCGTGTCTCTCTAGTAGGAGGAGTTCTAATGTTTTCACTTTTGTGTTGACAGTCGGTGGAATGGTATTCCATTAATCTGGGGTTGTTTTTATGTACGTACTGTTTGTATTAGATAGATATACGTTAGATTCGAATGCACATTACTAATATATGTGATACATGACTGACCAATGAGAATCGATCCAAACAAATTTGAAAATACCAAGGTTCTGTCTGTTTTTTCCAATCTCTGATGATGCTTTAATAAAAATTAAACATGTTAGATTGATAAACGTTTCCTATTTGTTGTTTATCTTGTCATCCTGTCAATTGCAATCCATCTTTGACATGCATTCATTCGCATATACTCGTCAGATAGATGACCCACTGCCTCTCCTTTTGTCGTCAATGTCCTGTGAGTGTTAAATCACATTTCTCATTATGTGTCAGAGATATGTCAACTGTCTCTCGTTTCTGATTATACGTATAAGCTTTCTTTTTGTTTCCATTTTCTTGAAGATGTCCTCGTTGATAACTCGCTCCATCCATGGAACTCTCAACATCTTTCTGTAGAGCCACATAAGCGACTGAGTTTTTCGGGGGAGTAATGGATAGCAGCTCGGATTGAGGAATCGGAGAGCCGAGTTCGAATTCTAGTCGAATCCATTACATTCACTTACGTGCTAATATCCTTGGGAAAGGTATGAATCCTCTTCTTCTCTCTCCACCTCCCACCATGAGTAATTAGGAGGACAGACCGGGTTCTATACTGCAGAAAGAAATAGCAACCTACTGCGAGAAAAAAAATCTGCTTCATCAATCATGTATCTTTCGATACATGATCGCACATAACTGACCGACTGTATCGTTACAGAAATTAGAATTCTGAAGAACCACCTCCCAAAATAAAAAATAATCCTATCCCTCCCTAAAAATTATCGTAAAAATTTTCTTACAAACAAAAATTCGATATCTCTGGTAATTTTGTCTGCCGCTTTTCATAATTCTTACAATCCATTCCATTTCAAAACACACACACACACACACACACACACACACACACACACACACACATATATATATATATATATATATATATATATATATATATAGAATTGTCTCTCCCGTCGATTTCCACGTTTCAATATCCGACAATCTTATTTGGTTTTTATATTTGTGTCGTATGTGACGCTTCAGTCCCGCTAGTGACCTGCATACAAGCCCACATATTGTGCAACAGCGAGGATCTTGGGACATAGCATCAGGAACATTTGCTGACGTTTTTCGCTGTTTTCTTTCGTCTCTTAGCCGGTCAATACTGATTTTTTAAAAATTTGATACCGCTCTGACACAAATATCTCCAGTTATTTCTATCCATGGCAAGATGAGGTACATTGATAGCTGGGAGGTTACTCTTTAGCTTGCCTTTATACCTGAGTCACGGCCGTCCAACACTTCCCTGTCCACCGTCAAGCTGGATATACATGAGGACCTTAGGTATTCTGTCTTCACTCATCCTTGTAACATCACCAGGCCAAGGAAGTTGTGACTGCATCAGGGCAAAGAAACCTGGTTCACTGTGTCGGTCTAGACAATTTTCCTCTCCAGAATCTATCTTACATATAAGTCTGCCATTCGTCTATGCTTTGAATATTGCTGTCACATATGATTAAGTGCTACTGCTGTATATTTAAAGATTCTAGATAAAATCCAAAGAAGAAACAGCAATATTATTGTAACTGCATCTCGGCTTCAGTTACTTTGCCACCGTCGCAGTGTAGCATCCCTGTGCCTTTTTCTATAAATACGTCCATAGCAACTGTTTGGATGAGCTCTCCGCTATTCCCCATTCCCTCCCTCGTTAGGTGGTCAGTGATGTCAGTTCTCTGGTGGATGCGGAGCGCCTTTTGTTTTGGATGTGTTCTTCGTATTTGTTGTTGTGAGTGTGTGGTTGAGTGATTGCTTGGGACGAATGAATATTTTATACTATTAAAGTGCAGCATTGATTTCGTCCAGTTAACTGATGTTTCTGCCACATTTACGTAATACGGGTGGGGTGGGGGTGTATTACTAATATTATTTTGTTTTGTTTTCTTGTAAATAGTTTTGTACATTTTTGTAAATATTCATTGGATTTAAATTTTTAAATTTTTTGTTTCATTCCCCTCCCCCACAGACAATGTATTGTACATATGGACATTATTTAGGACTTTCATAGAGACAATGAGGTATTATGGTGAATGTAGTAAGAATGGTAACAATACTTTGTTTTGTGTTAGGAATATTGTGGTATGTTTGAGCCACTGTTTGTGGCTAAGTTTAATGTTAAGACGGAAGAAGACCATCCTTTTTCTTATTCCTTATTTTGACCTTGTGCCACATTTCTATACACAGCAGAATAAATATCGCTCTCCGCTATGGTACATAGACTTTATGAATTTAAGCGTAGTACTGGATTGGCAGTAAGGTCTCATCAATTTACAGTTGAATTGACTAGATGTGACCTTAAGTTCTATGCTAATAGTTTCTTTGTTAGCACTTCTCACCTGTGGAACTCTCTTCCGGTTCCATGCTTTCCAGTCAACTTTGACCTTCGAAACTTTAAATGCAATGTCATTCATTATCTGTTGTCTTCTTGATGCCTCTTTTTCTATTGTTCTCGCTCTTTAATAATATTTCTCTTTGTTCTCATTCTTTCACACTCAGTAACCACCTTGTGTCTTAGTGGCTTTATTGCCTTGCTTGGGGTGAAATGATTAAAATAAGAAGTGACTGAACTCTTGATTTTTACTTTAACTCAATCGTCATAGAAATTGGATTTTTAACTACTTTTTAGAACCTGGTGGGATGACTTGGAGACAAACTTAGAGCTACAAAGGATAGGAAATTGTGGAGAGCTATAATCACCTCCATAAACGAAGAACCATAGCGTTTCTTTAAAGAACTGAATATTGTTTAAGTAGCCAAAAGGATATCTATGCTGAATTTTTTACCCGCCAGATTCTCCGGTCAGCCTATTCACTGTAGCTCAGTACTTTATATAAATAATGTGCAATAATATTATCTCATTCCACGGTTCAAAGCATTTCATTTACTGTCCACACAAACGTAATCTTTTCATTCGTGATATTCATATGTAACATATCGTGAAGCATTGAGCCTGTTAAGTACAATTTTCACAGTCATAAATCAGTTGGTTTTTCTTTCGTGTCTGGAAACGTTAAAGAGTTCCAATAAGAAGGACACGAAGATAACATCTAACAAGATGGCGTCACTGTCTCACTTGAAAGAAAAGTCAGTTGATATATGTTATGATTAAGACAAGGGAAAATATTTTGTTCCTCGATATTTCATCCAGCCAACAACGTATTCTTAATGATACCGTCTTGTTATTGAAAACGCTCCATGAGTTGATTCTTGTGCTGACTCATTTAATCAAGGACTTGACATTTCTTTTTTCTTTTTCTTTTTTTCGTACAATGACAAATTAAATCAACTGACCCGGATAAAAACTATTTATTTTCGCAGACATTAACTCATTTTGCAAAAACTAATAAATTATTCATTCGTATTAAACTCTCAATAGTTACACGCGTAATACTGTCTCGAGAAAAGTTTCAGTATATTTCGTGTTAATCCCAGTCTAATCTTAATGTTACCGAGGAAAAATTTTAACCCTTTGAGCACTGACTATCGCTTTAACGGTGGTAATGAAAAATGACGTAATGCCCAACCACTGGTTGAACGGTGGTAAAGAAAAATGACTTAATACCCAGTTACCGGTTGAACGGTGGTAGAGAAAAATGACTTAATACCCAGTTACCGGTTGAACGGTGGTAGAGAAAATGACTTAATACCCAGCTACCCGTTGAACGGTGGTAGAGAAAATGACTTAATACCCAGTTACCGGTTGAACGGTGGTAGAGAAAAATTACTTAATGCCCAGCCACCGTTTGAACGGTGGTAGAGAAAAATGACTTAATACCCAGTTACCGGTTGAATGGTGGGGAAACACTTGTAAGTATCTTTATATCTACCGTGAAACATTACATACCAATTATTTTACGAATTTTGACTCAAGAGCCCAGACAGAAGGGTTAAAGTTGTTCCGGAACGCAGGATTCAAAGGATTAAATATATTCAGAAGGATCATTTTAGGATTACGGCTATGACTTCAATAAATAATATTATACAGTGTAACCCGGATGTAAGAGAGTTGTCATGACCGGAGAAGAAGTCTCTTATATCCGGGTTTCTCTTTTATCCAGGTTTGCTCTATTTTATATACATTAACACAGGCTCTAATTTGGGACCAGAGAAAATCTCTCTTATATCCGGGTTTCTCTTATATCCGGGTCTCTTATATCCGGGTTATACTGTAGTGTTAAATGAACTTTGCTTACTCTTCCCCAATTAATATACAACGCGCTCAAGGAATCACAGTCTGTAACAAGGGCAGTTTTCCGTGGGGGAGACGCTGAAAAATTAAAATGCTTTCCTCATACGTGGGTAATAACAGCTAAAGATAGCGTTTATAATATCCACTAACTTTCCTTTTCCGGGCCGGGGAGAAGGAATGTAACAGACTTCTACACTTTGTTAAAATTCTAAAAAATAAGTTTTTATTTACGCTCTTCCGACATCTCCTTTAGCCGTCTATATTTTAAATGTTCGGGTAAATATCAGAGACTACCCACATATATTTAGTCAACAATAGTTAACTAAAGCTGTTGTTAAGGATGAACATCATAGTCTTTTCTTCACAATTTTTCCAACTGATTATTTTGCCATAGACAGAATATGCAAACAACGAGGAAGTTATAAGGAAAATGGAAAACATAAAGGAACTTAGAGTCAGAAAGAGTCAGTTAAAAGTTCTAAGCATATACTGAGGAAAGAAGGCTTAGGAAATTTGATGCACACAGGAAATAATGAAGAGACGAAAGAGAGAGGAAAACAGTGAGTAATATATTCAACGGACGTGTGTGAATAGATGGCAGAACAGGGAATAAGAGATACAGTAAGGGGAAAAATATTGCTAAGAGGTACAAAGGATAGGAAGTTGTCGAGAACTATGACCTCCAACGTCCTGAAGAGACAAAGAAGAAGAAGAAGAAGAAGAAGACGGTGCAAAAGGCAACTGGAGAGGTGTAACTGGTTCTCAAACAGAGAAAAGAAATGATCATTACGTCCAGGTGTCTCAATAGAGGCGCTGAACCTTTTCCCACCTGTTAATGTGATATTTGGGTGGACACTGCTGTTGATTCGACCGACTTTCTCGATAAATGAGATTACTGTCGGCAACATGAGAGCCGGCTGAATTTGGGCTGAACACGTTTTGTTTATATTGAGAAAGGCAATAAATCAGCGAACTCGAAATAAACTTCAATTCATCTCTTATGTTTCACACATATCCTGACCGATAGAGTAGAAAAAACTTAGAATCTAATCAGGGCCGACCGAAATGAACCAATAAATACATACAATTAAAAGAATTATTGCCGGTTATTTTTTAATTAAAATATTCTCTCTATAGATTGGCGAAAAAATAATTTAAAACGAACATAATGTTATGTATGTCGAACATAACTGATGATTCTAAAGCCTTTAAGGATATTAATCTGCTGAAGATCACAGTTGGCATGAAACTCAGATTTAGATCGGTGACCCTGGATGCATTCCCCCTTTGTTATTATATATGATCCTCATCTTCATCAGTCCCAACAACTGGTGTGGTCGAAGGGTTGCTGCATAGCTGAGCACCAAACCAAGTCCTTCCACATATCTGGGTCGAAAGCTGGAGAGATATTCATTCATGCGTATCGTTTCTTAAGCAATTAGACTTAATGGAGCCAACTCTTCTCCAGGTCGATTCACAGCCGTTGTCCTTCGAACTGAAGACGAACATGTGGCTGTTGATACCATCGATGGAATCCTCTGTTCTTGGCCGTCGACTACAGTCTCTGGCCGTAGACTACAGTCCCTGGCCGTCGACTACAGAATCTTGCCGTAGAATACAGTTCCTGGTCGTCGGCTACAGTCTCTGGTCGTCGGCTACAGTCTCTGGTGGTCGGCTACAGTTCATGGCTGTCGGCTACAATCTATGGCCGTAGACTACAGTTCCTGGCCGTCGACTAGAGTCTCTGGCCTTAGATTACAGTTCCTTTGCCGTCGGCTTCAGTCTCTGGCCATTGACTACAGTCTCTGGTCGTAGACTACAGTTCATAGCCGTCAACTAATTTCTCTGTCCGTCAACTACAGTCTCTGGCTGTTGACAACCAGTCGAGGAAGCCCTCCGCCCAGCATCATCAGTGTTACGTACATGGAGCTTAATGTTACCCATTGTGCCAGTTGGCCGCTGACCCTACAAAAAAGTTCCTCCCACCTTTAACAGGACTTGTTTTTTTTTCTGTTGGGTGCCTAAGAGTGACTTTGTAATAATGGTCTTCAGAAATTACGTAGAAATTTCATAGAAAATATGCGTCCTTCAACAGGAATCGAACCTGTGTCCTACACGAAACCGTCAGTTGATTCGACGTTGGAGAACGCATATTTCTCGAACATTCAGGACAGTAAATGTAATTAATACTGTTTAATTAAAAAAACAAAGCATTTACTTAAATAAATTGTATCTATTAAAATATCGTATAAAACAGAATATATATATATATAAACATTGATAGATAGATGAACAATGACAGGTAGATATATAGATGAATAGTGATATATATATATATATATATATATATATCACTATTCATCTATATATAGATAGATGAACAATGACATATATATATAGATGAATAGTGATATATATATATATATATATATATATATATATATATATATATATATATATATATATATATATATATATATATATATATATCACTATCATTTATATATCTACCTGTCATTGTTCATCTATCAATGTTTATTTATTGTTCATTTATTCATGGTTGTTCATCTATCTATGTATCTGTTACTGTTTATATATTCCGGTTCATCTAAGTCAGTTCATATCTATCTATAGGTCATTGTTTATCTGTCATTGTTCATCTATCTATCCACCACTGTTCATCTATCTATCTATCTATCTATCTATCATTGCTCATCTATCTATGTATCTGTTACTGTTTATCACTATTCATCTAAGTCGGTTCATATCTATCTAGCTATCTAGCTATCAGTATCTGTCGATATTTCTGAGATTAGGTATTATGTACACTATTTACATTATTAGGACTATTTCCTCAAGGACACATGGCACAGTGGATAAAGGCGTTAGTTAGATCCAGTGACAGGACCCAAAGAGTGTGAGTTCAATACCTGGTTAAGGCGGTGGAGAACTTGGAGAGGGAATTAAGCAGGAGATAACTGATAACTGACATCCATTAGACATGGCACGTGGAACTAGAACAGTCTACCCCAGTGAGCGAAATAAAGGATCCAGTTCGACATTCCAACCACCTGAAGAAGGCCGGAGCGTACAACGGCCGAAGCGTTGTAATACATATGGCGACAAAGATTAGGACAATAGTTCGAATAATGTAAATAGTCTCTCTATCTATCTATCTATCTATCTATCTATCTATCTATCTATCTACCACTTCTCATCTATCTATCTCCCTCATTGTTCATCTATCTAGGTATCTTTTACGGTTTATCTATTACTATTCATGTAAATCGGTTCATTTATCTATCACTATTCATCTGTCATTTCATATATCTATCTATCTATCTATCTATCTATCTATTCATTTATCTAACACTGTTCATCTGTCATTTCATATATCTATCTATCTATTCATTTATCTAACACTCTTCATCTGTCATTTCATATATCTATCTATTCATTTATCTAACAATGTTCATCTGTCATTTCATATATCTATCTATCTATTCATCTATCTATTCATTTATCTAACACTGTTCATCTGTCATTTCATATATCTATCTATCTATTCATTTATCTAACACTCTTCATCTGTCATTTCATATATCTATCTATCTATTCATCTATCTAACACTGTTCATCTGTCATTTCATTTATCTATCTATCTATTCATCTATCTATTCATTTATCTAACACTGTTCATCTGTCATTTCATATATCTATCTATCTATTCATTTATCTAACAATGTTCATCTGTCATTTCATATATCTATCTATCTATTCATCTATCTAACACTCTTCATCTGTCATTTCATATATCTATCTATCTATTCATCTATCTATTCATTTTTCTAACACTGTTCATCTGTCATTTCATATATCTATCTATTCATCTATCTATTCATTTTTCTAACACTGTTCATCTGTCATTTCATATATTCATCTATCTATTCATCTATCTATTCATTTATCTAACACTGTTCATCTGTCATTTCATATATCTATCTATTCATCTATCTATTCATTTTTCTAACACTGTTCATCTGTCATTTCATATATCTATCTATCTATTCATTTATCTAACACTCTTCATCTGTCATTTCATATATCTATCTATCTATTCATCTATCTATTCATTTATCTAACACTGTTCATCTGTCATTTCATATATCTATCTATCTATTCATCTATCTATTCATTTATCTAACACTGTTCATCTGTCATTTCATATATCTATCTATCTATTCATTTATCTAACACTCTTCATCTGTCATTTCATATATCTATCTATCTATTATCTATCTAACACTGTTCATCTGTCTATTTATCTGTTACTGTTTATCTATCACTATACATCTAAGTCGGTTTATATCTATCTATCTATCTATCTATCTATCTATCTATCTATCTATCTATCACTGTTCATCTATTTATTTATCTATCTACAACTGCTCATATATCTATCTATCTCTCATTGTTCATCTATGTATCTTTTACAGTTTATCTATTACTATTAATGTAAGTCGGTTCATTTACCCATCACTGTTCATCTATCAGTCTATGTACGTTTTTTTATTTCTCTCTTTTATTAATGTTTCTCTTCCTTTTAATGATTTGTTGGTTTCCATTGTGCTTTCAAAATACGTAATTGTCCATATTGCCTTCAAAACCTAATATGGAAGGCTTATCTAATTTCATCAACTGCAATTTTTCGGCTACTTGCCTTTGACCTTTGACAAAAGATTTGGGCGAATAGGTCAGAGAAAATTAAAAATATATCAATCAATTAAATGACGCCCGTAGTTCTTCGTCAAAAAGAAACCTAAAGATGTAAGCAAATCCTTAAAAACATGTTTATATACAGTTAAAAATTATTTGGCTTTTTTCAAAATCCCACGGGGAAAATTATCGCTCGAGATTCTCAGTATTTGACATTATCATTGTTCTTTCTTCGGGCTTTTCAGATTGTAATTTCATTTCTGTTATTTTCTTTCATATTTCCCACCTTCAACCACCACTCCACCCTAATCTTGCTTTTCATTAGAATTCATTTTTGATATGGCGGACATTTTTGTTTTTCTTTTGACCTTTTCTACATTTTTTCTCCTTTATTCTTTAAAAAAAAAATGATCGTTTCTTCCCTTCTTCATCATTTTGCTGCTTATGTTCTCTCGTTTTCTATTTCTTGTTGTTGGTTCATTTTTCGTTTTCTCTTCTTTCTTTTGTTTCCTTCTTTAATTTTATTCTAATATGGCTACTTCCTTTTCTCCTATTATCTCTTTTTTTCGTTCATTTTATTTTTATTAATACAGTTTCTTTTGTTAACTTTTTACAAATATCGGTCTTTAAGACCGACATCTTTTATCTATTCATTTTGCAGTTTGTATTAATCTTTTGTTAATACAACTTATTCTGTCTATATTTATTTATATATATATATATATATATATATATATATATATATATATATATATATATAGTTAAACTTCTACGTCTGACACGGACTCAGACCACACAGGGGTTGATAAGATTGAATTGTATATTTTGAATCTGTTGGCTGCTTCTAACCTTATGTAATGTCTTCATTTGAACGTTTTCAGCTTCGATTTGTCTACCTCATTTTCGAGCGACGTTCAATGATGCATTTGCGAACCACTTTTGACTTGCTCAGTAATTTACAGTACCGCTTTTTGAGTTTAAATTGATTATTTACCTTTCTTAAAATAAGAAATAAATAAATAATACGCAGTAAATGACAAGGAAAAGAAGGAAATGAAAAATGACTAAGAAAAAGAAAGAGAAAATAAAAAAACGTAATAAAAAAGTAAGTGAAACAGAAACAAGGTAGAAGAAGAAGAAGAAGAAGAAGAAGAAGAAGAAGAAGAAGAAGAAATTAACAAATACAGAAATAAGAAACTGAGTGAAAAAAGGAAGAATAACTAAGGCTAAAACAACAAAGTTTGCATGCCCCTCCTGTAGTTTTCAGTTTCATCCTCCCAAAGAGAGACGTGTTCTCTTTGTCTTTACAACACACGTCGAAATAGAAAACGCAGTGACCCAATACAACATTTTTACGTAATTTACCATCCATTTCACAATACTGTGATGTGATTTCAGAGTTTTCCTTCCGCTAGTCTGTTCGTCCCACAAGGCAAAATAGCCCAGTCCATAAATGGAGAAAGATGGGTTCATGCCTTTTTCATCAGTATTATGAGGAAGTGAAAACAACAGACTGGGTCGGAATTTGATTGGTTGCTTTTGTTTAACGGCATATCAACACCCCTATGGGCTACTCAATGCCGAAATCTAAATATTTGTGGCGCAATTGTATGCCTTCACCTGCAGATAAAATGTATTGTTGGTCACTTTACTCTAATTCACTATAAGTTTGGTTATTCTGTTTAATGACATATCAACATCCTATGGGTCATTTTTTTAAAGCATTTCACCGTAAGTAAGGCAGGGGCGTCACTAGCACGCAAGAGGTTACAGAGAGTGAGAGCAAGAGCAAAGGGGGGGTGTTTGAGGAAAGGATAAAGAGAAGGACGGGGATCAAGATCAAAATATCAGATGTTGATTGACATTACATTTGAATATTTGAAGATTATAGTTATCATGGAAGCAAGTAAGCGGAAGGGAGTTCCACTACCGGGAAGTGGGAGTTAAGCTGCTGAAGTAGAAGAGATGGTTACATTTAACTGTTTCGACAGTGGAAGGGTGGGACTGAGATGCCAACCTAGTAGCACGCTTAAATTCATGCAGTTGGGGTACCAGAAAAGTAGCTCATCAGAGCAGTTGCCATGAAAATATTTGTAGAAAAGACAGAGAGAAGCCACATCACGTCTGTGAGAAAGTGACTGTAGCCGAGATGTCAGGTCAGGACCTATCATATTGTATATCCGTCTTTAGATTTTGTTGAGAAGCACGAGATGAACATCAGGGGCATCAGACCATATATGATAACAATATTGAATGCAATGCCGAAATTTTATTTTCTTGTGAGTTTTGGTAACTTTTTTCCTAAAATGTATTCTTTTTCCAATATTGTATTTCTGGTATTTTTTTTTATTTTAACTATGAAAATGTATTACTGGTATTTTTTCAAATGTATTTTCATGTTTTGAACCTAGTTTGGGGATTCCATAGCTGCGACCCTAACAACAATTAAGAGGTGGTTCCACGTTCCTCATCAGAGGCCTTGCTGCCGGATGTAGTTTATCGTCATACCCCGGACGATCGGAATTTGGACTCGGCAACCCGATTATAATTTCCATTTCCGTGTTGTTAATCGCTACGCTTCATACACATTTCCTGGAGGAATAATTAATTAACAAGAACAAGAAGAAGCAAAACTGGATGTTGGGTGGAACCTAATAAAATGGGCTAATGTTTTTTTTGTAAAGAATTAAAAAGAAAATAGAAAAGAAAAACGAAGAAAAAAAATGTGGCATTATTTCTACGTTTTGGGAGGTGGTTGGGGGTTACGCACAAAATTCCCAGACTGATACTGAAAGTGAATCTTCTCTCATCGCTCGCTACTTTGTTTAGCGTCTGGGTGTAGCGCAACTTTCTACAATTCATATCACACCTCATCGTGATTCTTAAACTGTTTGTTGAAAATATTTCGCAGCATTGCTCTCCGCTGAACCCAATCTATCCCCATCCTCACAAGGGGGAAAAAAAAGACGCCTCAAAAAATAGATTAAACAAATTGACTTTGTATTTGGATTAACCGACTATTTATAAAATGACTTGTGATTTTGGCCCGTAATTTTTTTGCGCAATGAAACTCTTTACACTACGCTTACGCAAGAGAAAAAGGTGATGTATAGATTTCTCTTCTTATCTTTGACCCCGAATAGGATCGTCCAACAGTCTAAGTAATCACTGCTAAGTCTTCAGATCGCAGACTGTTTTCGACTTTGGTAAAATAGATATGCCTCTCCCCATTTATAAACAATGACTATGACCAAACAAAAAGTAACAGAAATTATAAAATGCACAACGTAGATTAAATTTAGTTGAAGTGGTCTGCCGAATTAACTTTCATACGATGGAAGCATTTTGCTACATAAAATGATGCGGTAACAACATTTTCAGTTTTCAATTCTGCCTTTGCTCCTGCTATGATCGTTTCCTTGTGGCTTTTTCATTCATTTTTTTTTTTCTTTCTCAAAGGAAACTTATTCGATAAATAGGTAAAATGTTGAGCTATTTAAGTATGGCATGCGTTCATGTGTGAATATCAAAGAACAAAGCCTCAAATCTTGTTTCAATTCAGAATCCTCTCGTCTCTTTTTTACCTTTTATTTTGTCTTTGCATCATCGCAGGGGTGTTTTCAATTCTATGCGTCCGGGAAGGCAAAACGAATGTCTTTGATCTTTCAGTGGAATAAATATAGACTTGTTTAGTATCTCTTGGCTAAGATGAGGAACGGGAATCCTATCAGTAAATCTCGAGAAAAGTCGACACCGAATTATCGAGTAGCATATCACGTAATTCTTATGAATGGTGAAGGTTCCTGCAACAAACTTTATTGCATAGAACCGTGTAGTCTGCTGTAGATACATTAATCAACTTTTGACAACTGCACAAGGCTTTACATAGAACGGATTGTTTAAAGGAATTGATCGATCGATTAACTTTCCCCTTGAACAACTAATCACAATGGACAATAAACCAGATTATATTTAAAAACGGTAAGTTGTGATCAAATTTGGGTATACACGAAAAACCGTTTGAAGTAATATATATATATATATATATATATATATATATATATATATATATATATATATATATATATATATATATATATATATGGGCACGTGGCTTAGAGTGGTTAGAACGTTCGCATTCTCGTCATGATACCCTGGTTCGAAGCTCACCATATTGAGCTTGCTGGACTTGTTCATATTGTAGACAAGTATCTTCGAATACGAATGGCCAGCTATACTATATATATATATATATGACAATATATATATATTGTCATATATAATGTTATTTTCCTTTTGCGTAATTTAGACGACAATTTATGCAACGCATAAATACATATATATATATATATATATATATATATATATATATATACGACTGGACCGAACGATTACACAAATGTTCGTCTACAAAACTCTGGAGTAGAGGTGGTGTTGAATATGACATCAATCAGCGAATTGACAAATTTTATATTTATATTAATCCTATATATATGTGTGTGTGTGCGTGTGTTATTACTATAAGCTTTAAATTTATAAAAATATATATATATATATATATATATATATATATATATATATATATATATATGCTTTGATAAATGTGAATCGAGTTCTCTCAGTCACTGTGTTTATCTAAAAATAAATACGCTTAAATTCACATTTACCCTGCTGTACGCCAACGGCTTAGGTGTAGAATCTACGACTGACGCTAATTCAACCGGGTTTCGATCCTAGGTAGAGATAACCAGACGTCTAGCCACACTTATAAGCTGTGATAACAGTCTGTCTGCGGATGACATATATATATATATATATATATATATATATATATATATATATATATATATATATATATATATATGTTGTTATGTCCTTACGCAGCCCCAAAAACCTAACCTCACACATTTTACACTTAGCAGCCCATCTCTTTCCATCTTTCTAATACGTTTAGAATACGTATAATACATTAGCTCCTTTATCTCTTTCAATCTGTAATTGTAGTCGCTGACTACAAAAAAATATTAGGTCAGACAGGCTGACCCCATCGACAGATCTGAATGGAAGCTAAAAATAGATTCTCACATACGTGCTAAATCATGTGACGAAGTACAAACGTCGAGGGGGAAAAGACCGCAGGAAGCAATTGGAAACCGAGTCTGGTGTAAAAATTCATTTAGTCTTGGGTATGACGATAAACTACATCTGGCAGCAAGCCCTCTGATCAGGAGATTGAAAGGTTTGAGGTGCGTAAAACCACCTCATCATTGCTGTTGTTCCCAGGTCTACCCTCACTCGGGGTGTTAGCACCTGTTAGGGTCCTAACTACGGGCAAATA